ATATATATAGAGAGAGAGAGAGAGAGAGAGAGAGAGAGTTTGTTTTAGGAAAATAACACTTATTTTATTCAAAAATATTAAGCAGCACAACTGTTTTCAACATTGATTGACTGAATGATTGATTGATTTAATTTAATTTAATAATTTATTTATTTTAGTATCAAATTAGCATATTAGAATGATTTCTGAAGATTCATGTGACACTAAAGACTGAAGTAATGGCTGATGGAAATTCAGCTTTGCATCAAATTGCAATAAATTACATTTTAAAATATATTAAAACAGAAAAAGTTTTTTTTTTTTTTATTGTAATATTTCACAATATTACTGTTTTTTTAAAGCCTTGGTGAGCAGTAGAGAATTCTTAAAAAAAAATCTTCTTATAAAACAGCAGTGTACATATTTAGTGAACAATATTTGCTCTTTCACCATATTAATATCATGAGTATGTGAACACAGACCCATAATATCATGAGTATGTGAACACAGAACACAGACAGTGTTTAACATGCTCATCTGATCATTCATTCATTTGTTGGAAATATTCAACTCAAATTTTAAAATAGTATCCCACTGGAACATGCTGCTTTTATTTGGCATGAGTTTGTGAAACGATCATTAAACGCACTGTGCCAGAATCACTCTGTGGCTCTGTGTTCACTCAAAGAGTCTAATTAGAGAGCAGGGGGAGGAGGAATAACCATATGCCAACATGTTTCTCCACAGCAAGCAAAATGCTGTCATCACTCAGTTCTAGATAGTTTAGCTGGAGATAAAAGTTCAGATCAGTCTAAAATGTATCCTGGAGACATGACTGTATGAGTACGTCTGCTGTGCCAAACCCATATAAGGAGCGCATGTGCTGTGGAAGACATGAGCAAAAGAAGACAGATTAATATGCGTCACAGATGCATATGAATATTTGTTCTGTAATATGCACTTCTATATTGTGGCGCATACAGCAAACAAGTTGAGAGAGATCAATAGAGACCCTCGGCATATTAACCACAGCATCACAGTAAGCAAAGCTGACAGGCGACTCCACGGTTTGGAGAAGCGCTGCAGAGGACACGCTTGATTGTGTTTGGAGGAGAGCGGAGAGAGGGACTTCTAAAGGACAAGATTCACCGCTGTCATAAATTAAGGATGACAGATGTGCTGTAATCTCGGGAAGAACGTGGTGAACCGAAGATCTGTTTCATAGCCTGTTTGAGAAGGTACGACTCCCCAGGGCATTCTGACCTCTTTCTGATTCAGGGTTCAAGAGCGTCGTGCAGCTGGGCTGTGAAATGCAATATCAGATCTGGAAGCACTATAGCCTGAACTCTAAGACTTTGATTTCCAATTCTGATATTTAGGACTAACTAAAAAGACAGATAGACAGAAGTACATTTAGATTTTATTTATACAATTTTTATTTTATTTTTTTATTTTAATATATAATAATAATAATAATTATTATTATTATTAATACAAATTATTTTTATTTCATCAATTAAATTTTTACTTCAATATATTTTAATTACATAATTTATATTGTTACTATTTATAATATTTTATATTCATACTATTTTTATTTTAAAAATACAATATTTGTATTTTAATGTATTATTATTGTATACTAAAAATAAAATAAATATTATATTAAAATGTTAAAAATAAAATATTTTATTTTAATTTATTATTATTATTATTTTTAAAAATGTAATACATTTTTACTTGAATATACAGTATTTTATTTACATTATTATTTATATTGTTATCATTAACAATATGTTATTTATATATTTATACTATTTTTATTTTAAAATTAATATAAATTCATTTTATTGAACTAAATATAATTTTATTTTTTTAATAATAACAACAATTGCATTGTTTTCTTATATGTATTTATATCTATACTTTGTTAACAGAAAAATAATCAAAATTTCAGTTAAGCTCAGAGAATGAAGGACAGACAGACAGACAGACAGATAGGATATGACTCAATCTCAGTGTCATTCAAATGTCTCAGCTCTAATTGGGCCTGAAATCAGTCTAGTCTTTCAGAGTATTTTTAGAGTTGTCTCTCTTCATGCTGGCAGACACTGAAGGCTGTCTAGCCGTTTGAGTGACATCTCATCTCTCCTCTTATTCATAGCTCATTAAGGGCTTTTATTCTGCCTGATGAGCAGAACTAAACAGCACCAAAGGATGCCATGTACCATATACTTGTACTCAGTGATGATGGATGGATTCAAAAATATGATCTTTAATAAATACAGTCTTAGCTGCTCTCCAAATGTCTTTAGGCGGGGCTGGTTTTGGACACTTTTCTAGCTGAAAACCAGCTTGGTAAGTTTGGGAGACCATCTTAAACCAGTTAAGATCAGTAAACCTATCTATCTATCAGATCATATAGATAGATCCAACAGTCTTAATTAAATTAGAATTCAAGCATTTACTGCACAAAATGGGTAATGTTTCAACAGGTTTGTTGTTGCTTCACAATTAGCGGCTTGTTAAGAGTCCACAGCCGTAGATGCAGGATAGTGCAGATCTGTGTGATCAGTCTGTTATTAGTCTGTGTTTCAGCATGTGTGCAGTAGATTCTCAGCTGTAAATAAACATTATCCCGCTGAGAAGCCACTCCAGCAAATTCAAGTCATGTAGGACGCTGCCAAGTTGTGCCGCTCTTCCTCCCTTTCTACAAGTCTTCTCTACTCTTCTTTCATCCATCAAGAGCAACACTTTTTCTCTGCCTTCCCACTGTTAGTCTTTTATCCTCCTACTGAGTCAAACTGCACAGCTCCCACAATGCTCATCTGCGACCTGCCAGTTCAAGTGTCAAACAATTTTTATTCCTTTCATTTTCCAGCACCTTTGTAGATCTCCATGCTGCTATCAAAGGAGCCAGAGAGACTAGATGGGCTATCGCTCACTACAAAAAAAATTGACTGATGGTGAGATGTATTACCTTTACTTTTCAAATTTTGCTTGTTTAATATTTAATGCTTTTTAAAGCACATTTTAAACCATTTCCCTCATACCAATGTAGCTAATGTAGATCAGGTTTTACTATCTTTATGGATATTTGCTTACCACAACATAAGCAAAACCAGACCCACAGAGACACACAAACAAACCTTCATATCCATAGATAAACTAATTAATGATTTCACCTCAAGTTGAGAATATTTATTATTTAAAGGGGTCATATGATGTGATTTAAATTTTTCCTTTCTCTTTGGAGTGTTACAAGCTCTTGGTGCATAAAGAAGATCTGTAAAGTTGCAAAGACTAAAGTCTCAAATCCAAAGAGATATTCTTTATAAAAGTTAGTTATGTACAGTATGTGGAAAATAATGTGTTTTTTGAACCTTAAACCGCGTAAACACATTTCATTACACCAAATACACAAAATAATGTTCTTTTTAGCAGCATCATATGACCCCTTTAAATATAAACCAAACTGATGTGAATAAAGTTTTTACTCTCTTCAAAGTTATTAAAGCACCTGCTGAAATGTTGTGCCCTCTACTGGATTTTATAGGAAGTACAAGGCAAATATGAGGCAAAAGCCACAACTTCATATTTCAAAATTTACTATATTTGCCATCATCACTGATACAATATCTGAGATACAGCAGAGAGAAAGATAGTCAGTGAATAATGATTTGCACAAGCTCACAGTAACAAAAATACTGTTTGACTTTTGAAGACTTTGAAGAGTTGTTTTTGCCTTTTTTTTGTGTTCATGGTCACTGTTTGCTTTGTAGTATGATAAAAGAGCAGCACTTTTTAATAATATAAATTATTATATAATATTTATTGATCGTCTTTATTTTTCTGAGAAGCATTGAGAGGGCCAGGGCTTAGATTTCCCTCATTAAGTTGTAAAGTTATGTTTCTTTCATATTCTCAGCCTTTTGCTTTGCCTTGCTAGAGTGAGTCATAGCAATAGTTGAACGTGCTACACAATAAATAAATAAATAAATCATTGTGGCTTAACAAATAATCATATATGTATGCTACAAGTGCACAATACTGTATATGCGTGAATGCATGTGCGGGCATATTACTGCAAGAAAGCTGAAGAAGGCAGCAAAGAGAATATTTACACGTGTGGGAGAGAAAGCATCTAAAAATGATATAGCAAAAAAAGAATACAGACTCAGGATAGAGATCCAGCTGATTGGTATCCATAGTAACAACAGCGGAGGCAAGTGTCGTAATGTGTTTGTGATGCACACGCAACATTAGTGCACACGAACACATGCGCGCACACACACACACGCACAAACAGTTCAGTCCATTATCTTTCCATCCTTCAAGAAACAAAGAATGAAAGAAATTGGACCCATTTAGAAATGAATAATTTCTTCCTTAAACAGCCTGAATCATAGAATCATATAATTCTACAATTTTTCTCATTGTTATCAGCACAAGAAAATGAAAAAATGATATATACATATACACTATGACTGCTATACATTCATACATATACATACATATATATATATATATATACAGTGGGTACGGAAAGTATTCAGACCCCCTTAAATTTTTCACTCTTTGTCATATTGCAGCCATTTGCTAAAATCATTTAAGTTAATTTTTTTTCCTCATTAATGTACACAC